TCTGGAAAATGTGGCAAGTCTCTATGACTATGATTTTGGTTGTGCTCAAGAATGACTTAAAATTAATAACAAGTTAATGTTACTTACTAGTATTTGTGCTGCTATTTCAACAACTTAAAAATTTTTATTATGCTAAACATTTCTTTGAGCAAAGCATTTCGCATAGATCTTTAAATTTTGGTCAATAGGTAGCACATTGAATATTGCTCTTTGTATTTATTAAGGGATAAATTAGTCTCTCAGTTGATATTTAGCTACCTTATCTGGAGAAGGTAATAATTTAGCTACCTTATCTGTATCTCAGTTGATATTTAGCTACCTTATCTGTAAAGGTAATAATTAAGTATTTCTTTTCATACTCAGAAAAGCAATGCATCCTAATTATAATCTGATGAGAGTGTTGTCCCCTCAACATAATATTTTAGCTATTTGTGTAATTATCTTCTGAAGATGTGCTAAATTAAATACAAAGATGGATATAATAACAACCTTTGGGGATTTTGTTTCTCTTTTTATTTGTAAATGGGTTAGAAAGTTCATGATCTATATCAGTTAAAAACAGGGAAAAGTGATATGAAAGTGAGGTCCAAAAGTCTGATTTTGGAATAAATTATCCATTTAATTCACTTCAGTGTTCAGATGGCTTGTAAGCAACTGGATTATATACAAAGTTTGTGAATTGTTCACTCCTACATATAACATAACTGAAGAGGGATGGGAGCCGAAGAATGTTCACCTTTAGCCCAGAAGGCTGATCTGTAGCCTACATAGCTCCAATAAGAATCAAATACCTGCTGGTTGCTGCATTCTTATAGGGTCTCATGACTGCCTGTACATCTCACTGATAGTTAAAATTGAGCTAAATGATAAGCACCATACAGATCTCGTAAAAGTAGTTTATGAGTAGAAATTCAAAGAAAACATTTGTGATTTAACACTCCTTGCGTGTCCCCTCTCCCTCAGACACCAAGCATATAACAATCAGCTTCATACAGCAAAAGTTTAGCTCTTTCTGCCCATGGGTCCTGTCCCCATGCTATAATAAAAGCACCTTTTTGCACCAAAAACATATCAAGTATTCTTTCTTGACCATTCCCTCGAGGCCCCATGTCAATAACTTAAGAATTCTTCCTACTGTATGCCACAAAAAGGTATGCAAATTTACATCTTTTATCTGAAATCCATGGACCCAGATACACTTCAAATTTCATATTTTTTTAAATGATGAATTAAGCAGAAATTTTATTTCCAAACTCATCAAAGATTATTATAAACAAAAAGGATCCTTTTAAAATTGTCACAAGTTAAATCAAAGGCACCTCATCAAAGTAAAACACTTGTGACATTAAGAATTCCTTTAGGTTGTCATATTTTCACATTATTTTGTGTTTAATTATTTGCATGTTCTGATGATCACATTAAAACACTTTTTTGAAGACATGAAATAATGTAGTATTTTTTTTTAAAGTACAACCACAAGGGTAAAGTAGAGGAACTTAAGAAGTCATAGACTAAGTCTGGTTTGTACACAGGATGGAGTAATCTAAACACAACATGAATCTTTCCAAACAAGTTTGCTTTCCAAACACAGCTCCCATGTTTAGTGATACAAATTAAACAATCTTCTTATTTAGAAAAATCAAGATACATTTGATTAATAAAGCTTATTCTTCCCACAGTTTTATACTTGCTTGTCTTAATTTAAAAAATGTAAATTCATGAAGAAAGAACAAGTTCTGTTAGGTTATAAAAATCTTAGGAGCAACAAATTACAAATATTCAACTTTTAAATAAGCAAAGTTGTTTCCTTCCCCAAATGGAAACATCCAGTAAATAAAACATACATAATATTCCAGGTATAGGAACAATAGTAAATCCCTTATGAAAGAGGTGCATTTCATGTATTTTTTTTTCTTAAAGAGTCTCATGACTGCCTGTAGGCACTTGAACTCATGTAGGACTTGAACTTAGGACCCCGAGATCAAGACCTGAGCTAAGACCTAGAGTCAAACACTTAACAGACTGAGCCACCCAAGTGCTTCTCACATTTGCTGGTCTTAAATATAAAAATACTTTACCAAAAGAATCAGGCCATTATTATTTAAAGTGTACTCTTTCATCTAGTTTCCTTATCTGAGTAGAAACTCATCAATTTCCATAGAATGTTGAAACAGGACCAAAGCCACAGGAAAGGTCTGAAATATATGAAAGTCTTTTGGTTGGAGAATAGTGTTTTCTTTTTTTTTTTTTTTTTTTTTAAAGATTTTATTTATTTATTTGACAGAGAGAGATCACAAGTAGATGGAGAGGCAGGCAGAGAGAGAGAGAGAGGGAAGCAGGCTCCCTGCTGAGCAGAGAGCCCGATGCGGGACTCGATCCCAGGACCCTGAGATCATGACCCGAGCCGAAGGCAGCGGCTCAACCCACTGAGCCACCCAGGCGCCCAGAATAGTGTTTTGTTGAGACTTCTAGGCAGTCATTCATTGTTTTGCACTGAAAAGCATTCCTCAGCAGACTCTTCCCTACTGTCTTAAGAATAATGCACAGGATCTGGGCCCTGGAAGGTGCTGCTCCTAGCTGGAGCACCTACCAGCAGGCCATCCTTGCAGGCATTTTGCATACAATATCACTAAAGCTCTGAAGCCCCTGGGAGCCTGGGAGACCTTGAGCCTCCCCACGCTGGCCTCCAGCAGTTGCTGCTCCAGCCAGTGTACAGGCGAACATATTCACTCCCAAGATAAGCAGTGGCAATGGGTTCCCCGGGGCCAAAGAGCCAGTAAAGGTAACATGGTCTTGTGTACTTTGTAACATCCCAAAATAGAGTCTGAAACACAAACCCTTATATAAAATAACTATTTCTGTGTGTGTGTGTGTGTGTGTGTGTGTGTGTACACACACATATATATTCTGAGGGTTTTTTTGTATTTTATATCTCTACATCAGTTTGGATATTATCTATTTACTGACTTGTCTCTGAATTCACTGATTCTTCTGTGTTCACTGTTTTTAAGCCTACTTACATTCATAACTTTACATTGCTTTTTCAGTTCTAAAATATCCTTTGATTCTTAGATATTCCATTTCTCTGTTAAATTTTTTTATTGTTTTCTCCATTTTTTCCAACTGTTCCAGCACTTTTTAAAAATATGTCACTTTATACTCTACTAATTTCAGCAATTGAGCCCTCTGTGTTTTTCTTTTAAATATTTTCCTCTTAAAAATTATGAGGCATATATATCCCTGGTTCTTTGCATGTTCCTATTTTATGTGTTTTAGGCACTGTATATAAAAAGTCATATAGATTTGATTTAATATATTCCTCCAGAAACTATTTACTGTTTTTCAATGGGGCATAAAAAGGTATGGTGTAATCACATTAATCCAATCAAGTACTGAGCATATTTGAATCGGATTGTAGTTTTTATAAGACTCGGTATACTTCTGGTTTATACCTGTTCCTTGGATATATCCTTTCCAAGTTTTAATTATGATTCTAATGGATCTCTTGCTTCTCAGTCTGAAATATTTTAGGTGGTTTAGTTAGGCCCTTCAGAATTTTTTTTAAGTTTTTTTTTTTTTTTTTTTTTAATAATTCTTACACCCAAATGTGGAGCTCAAACTCAGAATCCTGAGATCCAAGAGTTGCAAGCTCTGCAACTTAGCCAGCCAGGTCCCCTGCTCTTCAGAATTTTTGAGCTTAGAACTTTAGCCTTCTCCATTTTCCTGCTAGCATCTAAAGTATGGCAGATTCCTCACTCAGAAATCTGGCTTTATGTTTATCCTTTTCAATTTAATGTATCCAGTAAGAATCCATTTCAAACATAAATATTAAGCAACAAAGTAATAATGAACAGGAAAAATGTGAAATATTACTGAATGTATAACCAGAAACAACTGCAAATACTCAGGATGTAAAGTCCTTTCAAAGTCTAGCAGTGAATTTGGCTTGGTCTTCTTGTTATCAAACCAAAATATAAATTAAACTAGTTTCAGAATTTCTGCAGATTCTACACACACATGCACACACATATATACTTAAGACCCATAGCCTGAACAAGAAAAGAGTTATATAAGACTAGCTACTAGAGAAAAATTGTCAACAAATAATTTGGACAGAGTAATGATTCGATAATACCAGCCATATATTTATTTAATAATATCAAATATCTACTTGGCAGTTAAAGAATATCTGCTGATTGAGTCATAGACATTAAGTCAAAAGTTCAAAAATTATGAAATAAGATATATATAAATATGTATACATATAATATATTTAAAATAAAGATTTTATATATCTATACACATATATATATGTGTGTGTATATACATATATATACACACACACATATATATATTCCCCTGCCCCAGGCCAAATGGAGATGGCTTGAGTTCATAGAATTGAGGCAACCAGGGGTAAGTGTAATAGCCACAGGCCAAATACATGAAACATGCTATCTCTGAGGCTCTCCTTCTTGTTTTCCCACCTACATATCTCAATCTTTCTTTATTACTTCTGTCTACCTCACATCTCCCTCTTTGTTCCTTTTCCTCCAGGTTTTAAATCCTCTCTCATATATTTTTTGTCTTTCAGGAAAAAAAAAACTGAATTATTCATATCCCAGGTTTAAATGAAGGGAAAGCTATATATTTCATAGTTCCTTCAAAAGTTTTAGTATATTAGCTCTAAATAGAACAGTTTGAATCCAGACAGTCTAATTAATATCTGAGGTCCTACTTTCAACAGATTCTAAGTTGGTTATCTGTGCTTTTTCAACTTCCCGTATACTTTTTTTTGGACTTTAATTCAGTTGTCACACAATTTATTAAATAGAGTTAACCTGATAGTTCCATGTACCCTCATAATTACAGATCTATTCTGAATATAATAAAATGGGGGCTTTAGGAAAAAACAGCTCCAAATTTTGTATAATTATTTAAGCATTTGTATTACTTGAAGTTGCTTGAAAATGTAAAGAGTAACTTATGCTCCTGAGAGTTGTTTAGGAAATCATTCTCAGACTCAGGAGTTGACTATGCAGTCTCTTCATTGCCATCTTCATGTCCTTGTTCCTCAGTGTGTAGATAACAGGATTCAGAATGGGTGTAATCATAAAGTCCAAAATGGCAAGAAATTTATCCACTGACACAGTGGGAAATGGCCACACATAAACAAAGATGCATGGTCCAAAGAACAAAATCACCACGGTGATGTCAGCTGACAGAGTAGAAAAGGCCTTAGACAAACCACCACGTATGGAACGTTTCCATACGGTGACCAGGATAAAGATATAGGAAATAAGCAATGAGAAGAAGGTGCTCATGGAAATTAACCCACTGATGGCAATAACAACAAATTCCATTCTGTAGGTGTCCGTGCAGGCAAGTTTGATAAACCAAGGAAGGTCACAGTAAAAGCTATCTATCTCATTAGGACCACAAAAAGGCAAATGGACAACAAAAGCTAACTGGGCCACTGAATGTATGAGGCCAATAGACCAAGCACCAGATAGAAGTAAAATGCACATCTGTGGGTTCATGATTATCAGGTAGTGAAGGGGCTTACATATGGCCACATATTGATCCAAGGCCATGGCGACCAGCAGCACCATCTCTGATCCACCCAGGACATGAAGAGCAAATATCTGGATGACACATCCCTGAAAGGATATGGTTTTATGCCCAGAGTACAGGTCATGAATCATCTTAGGAACCGTTAAGGTAGAAAAACACAAATCAATGAATGAGAGATTAGCTAAAAGGAAGTACATAGGGGACCGTAAGTGAGGGTCAAAGGTCACTACAAACACAACAAGGAAATTTCCCAGAACAATTGTTACATAAAACACTATAGAGAAGGCAAGGAGAAAATGCTGTACTGGTCTAGAGGTAGAAAGTCCCAGCAACACAAATTCAGACACTGAAGAGTAATTTGATTTATTCATTGACTTTGTGTTACCTAAAAGGGTCAAATAAAAATAATTACAAAGGGATGCATGAGAGCTACTGAAAGAAACAGAAGTCACTGGGTTTCAAATTCTGACATTAAAGAAAAAACTTCACTTTGGTCACAAAACTCTGAAAAAGTCATAGAAAATTTATTCATTTCACAAATGTTCATTCAGCAGCTACCAGGAAGATCTATGTACCTGGCACTGTGCCACATTCTGGGGTATAATATTCTACAAAGCAAAATGGGGTCCCTCATGTCAAGCAGGAGCCTGCATCAAGCAGTGACAGAAGCAGTTCAGGTACTACAGCTAGAAAATATCACCATGACAAATGTCAGCTGGCACCGCAGAACTGATAATGAGCAGAACCAGAGGAGGTCTGCAGAGACCCCAAACTGATTAAATCCCTTTAAAAAGGGAAGGATTTTGGCAGTTAACTGTCAAACTCTTCAGACCTGACCCCTCTATGTCTGACCACTTAGAAAAAGCAACTGCCGTGGAAAGCTCTGCCCGATTGATCTGTGAACAGAACTGAAATCCTTCACTGCTTGAACTTAAGCAGTAAGTGGCTGGAGCTGACCCAGATGAGATGGAGGTCTTATCTCAAATGGGCAACCCCAGACTGACTTTGTGTTTGGTTTGTTAACTTCCTACACCCCTCTGTTATCTTGTTTGTAGTGTGGCCGATTTTCTGTCCTGCTCTGTGTGCTGTGTAAAAAGCCAAGTTTAATCACATGATGTTGTCATTGAGTTTGGAATCCTGAACCAGCTTTATAATTGTGATTTAACTTTGCTTTATGACTGAATAAAGCTGACACTGTGGAAGGACACAACTCATGTGTGTGCCTTCATAGTATGCTCATGACAAATATATACCCTGTCTTTATGTAGTTTGTAGTCTAGTTGTGAAGCTAGGCATTAAACAATCACATAACCAAATGATTATAATGGTAATAAGTTATTTGAAGAAAAGAACAAAGGGCTATGAGAATTATAAGAGCTCATAGCAGTGCCGTCTACTATGATCTCAAAGAAGACATTTGAGCTAAGATCTAAATGATGAAGAGTAGTTAAAAAGTGCAGAAGAGTAGGAAGCATGATCTACCCAGAGGAAAGACACGGGAAATCCTCTGAAGCATGAAGAAACAGAACAATTTGGAATAAATAAAAGAAGATCAACAAGGGTCTGATAACGGTAGAGTCCTCTACCCTGTGTAAAGAATTTGGACAGTATCTTAGAAGTGGGGGTACTTGGGTGGCTTAGTCAGTTAAGCGTCTGCCTTTGGTTCAGGTCATGATCCCAGAGTCCCTGAATCAGGCTCCCTGCTCAGCAGGAAGCCTGCTTCTCCCTCTCCCTCTGCATCTCCTCCCCGCTCACACTCTCTCTTGCTTTCATTCTCTCTCTCAAGTAAATATATAAAATTCTTAAACAAAAAAAAATCTTAGAAGTGATAGAAAGTCACTGAAGGAGAATGGTGAAATAATATTAGTACCTTGAAGAGTTGACAGTAGCTGCAAAGTAAAGAATGTAACAGAGTAATCCAGAGGGAAGAGAGAGATCTATAAAGAGTCTATTGAAAGAACATATCAAATCAGTACAGAAAGAATTAATTTATCAATAAATGGTGTTGACACAACTTACCAAACTTGGTAGAAGTAAATTAAATTCCTTACCTTACAACAGTGTATGAAATACATTTTAATGAATATTTAAATAATAAAAATAGAAAAAAAGAAGAAATATAGGCTTATTTTTAGATAATCCTTTGTGTGAGAAAAATCTTTTTAAGTAAATCCTGCAGGAAAAAAATGGACACCTTCAGATTCAAAAATTTAATTTTCTATATATTTTTAGAAAAAATGTATGAAAATGGTTGTTAAATATAATGGTAAACCAAATTTTAAATGAGCAAACACATAAAAACTTGGACGGAATGAGAAATCTAGTTAACATGTGAAGAATGGGGGCGCCTGGGTGGCTGTCATTAGGTGTCTGCCTTTGGCTCAGGTCATCATCCTGGAGTCCTGGGATCAAGCCCCACAACTGGGCTCCTAGCCCAGTGGGGAGCCTGGTTCTCCCTCTCCTATTCCCCATGTTTGTATTCCCTCTCTTGCTGTCTCTCTCTCTCTGTCAAATAAATAAATAAAATCTTTTTAAAAAATATGAAGAATAGTCAAACTCACCAGCAATCAAAGAAATGTAATTTAAAAAAAAAAAAAGTCTTGTTTCGTTTTATCATTCTTTCCTAACATAGTGGCAAAAACAAACCCACACACAAAAGTGGAAAAAGAAAAAGATAAAGATTAATCCAAGTGTGTTCAAAGGAGTCCCTATGATGGGAATTTTTATGCTTGATTGGTGAGAGTGGAAATAAATATTGAATGTGTCCAAGAATAGGCAAGAGCAGAGGTGCCTGAGACCCCTAACCCTAAACAGAGGGCTAAATTCATAGTATCATAACCAAAAGGAAATGCCACAGCTTACTTGCCCAGTGTTGATATATTTACCTGTTCAGTGCACTAGTATTCAATAGCAATGACAAAGAAATGTAAATAACCAAAATATAAATTAATACCAAATTGTTTAATCAAATTAGATTGTAGCTATATAATGAAACACTACGTGGCCATTAAAAACAATGGCAGAGATCTTCATAACAGACACCTAAAGTGAAAATTTTTGCAGAATGGAATCAATAGTATGATTCTATGCATATGCATATAAATACATCTTAAAGGATGAATGCCTAGCTTTTTAGAATTATTAATATAGTAAAATGTGATTGATTATACGTGACTTTAGCTTTCTGCAATTTAGATGCCTTCTACAAAGAACTGGCATTTGTTAATTAAAAAAAAAAAAAACATGGATTTTTGAAATTATGAAAGTGAAGATTAGATCCAGGGGAGTTCTGGAAAGATGAAGTAGGAGGATCCTGAGCTCTCCCTGTCCCATGGACACACCAAGATAACAGCCATATTAACACAACTAACAAGATAACCCAAAGATTAGCAAAACAGACTTCCCACAGTTAATCATAGAAAGGAAGCCACATGAAAAAGGGTAGGAAGGGGCAGAAATGTGGTCTGGAATCAAGTTCCTGGGAGAATAACAACAAACAGGAGGGACAGCACAGGCACAGAGAAGTGAGAGGATCAGAGGACACCCCACACCAGACACTCCAAGCAGTGGGGACCTGCACTGAGATGATGAGCCCCATAAGGTCCTCTTTGAAAACCACTGGAGCTTAACTTCCCTGTTTTTACAGTCAATGGGGCTTAACTCCAGGTACATTAAAAATCAGATGGCTTAGCTCTGGAAGAGCCTGAGGGCTATAGAAAACAGTCCCTGCAGTTTAAATAGCCAGCATAATAAAGATACAGCATAGAAGCAGCAGTTTGAAAAGTGCCTGGGGTATCTGGGGTAACTGAAGGAGCTCTATTTTTGAATCTCAAAATAGTCAGGCACACACAAAGCACACAGGAGACACCAATGAAGCCAGGTTCTGGTGAATAGGTTTTACATCATAAGGCACCACAGTATCTCTTCTTCTTCGTAGAGCAACTACTATCAAGAATCAGGTATTGTAGCTCACTTTTCCAATAAATAATTCCACTTCTGGGTATTTACCCAAAGAAAATTTGTATATTTACAAATTAATGTACATATGTGTATTTCAGCATTTTAAAATAATACCTAAGATATGGAAGCAACACAGGTATCCATCCATAGATAAACAGATAAAGAAAATGTGGTGTTATGTGTGAGTGTGTGTGTGTGTGTGTGTGTGTGTGTGCACGTGCGTGTAATGAAAAATTATATATATTCCATTAAAAAGAATGAGGTCTTGCCATTTGCAACAACATGGATGGACCTAGAGGATATACTGCTAAGTGAAACAAGTCAGTCAGAGAAATTAAGAATTTAAGAAACAAAACAAAGAAAAAAAGAGAGAAACAGAAAAATAGACTCAGTTGCCACAGGAAAGTTGTGGGGAGGACAGTGGGGTGAAATGAGGAAGGGGATTAAGAGTACATTTATGATGAGCACTGAATAATGTACAAAATTGCTGAATCATATATTGTATACGTGAAATTAATAAACACTATGTTACAATTTAAAAATTTTAGAATTAAAAAATAACAAAAGTGAAAATTCAAGATGTATAGCATCTTAAAAGAAAAAGCACAACACAAACACTGAAAAAATGACTTAAAACTTTACTAGTAAGTGATCAACTCCTTCCTCACCAAAAATCAAAACTATCAATATAGCAAAAGTTCTCAGCAAAGGGTCCATCTTGAGGTGCAACCTTTATATATTTATATTTTTAATACTTTCTTTTTCTGAAGATATGTGTGTATGTGTGTGTGTGAGAGAGAGATAATAGATACATTTTTATATTAATTTCTTTTCAGCATAAGAGAATTCATTGTTTATGCACCACACCCAGTGCTCCATGCCATATGTGCCCTCCATAATACCCACCACCTGGCTCCCCCAGCCTCCCACCACCCGCCCCTTCCAAACCCTCAGATTGTTTTTCAGAGTCTATAGTCTCTCATGGTTCATCTCCCCTTCCAGTTTCCCTCAACTCCCTTCTCCTCTCCATCTCCTTATGTCCTCCATGTTATTTGTTATGCTCCACAAATAAGTGATACATTTTTGATTGATTAAGGAGGGAGATGATTTTTATAAGAGAGGAAAAGGGGGGCTTCCTGGGTGGCTTAGTTGGTTAAGCATCTGACTCTTAATTTCAGATCAGGTCATTATCTCAGGGTTGTGGGATTGAGCCTTGTGCTGGCTCTGCACTGGACATGAAAGCTACTTAAGATTCTCTCTTCAGGCACCTGGGTGACACAATAGGTTGTCTTCCTTGGGCTCAGGTCATGACCTTGGAGTCCCAGGATCCAGTCCCACATAGGGCACCCCACTCAGTGGAGGGCCTGCTTCTCACACTACCCCTCACCCTACTTGTGCTCTCTTTCAAATAAATAAATAAAATCTTAAACTAAAAAAACAATTCTCTCTCTCCCTCTGCCCTTTCTCCTCATCCCCAGGTGCTCTC